CTCTTTCAGTTTTAAATGATAGCGTTGCTAGGTGAAGTAGTCTTGGTTTCAGATCCTTGTTTTTCATCACTTTGAATATTTCATGCTGATCAATTCCTTCTGGCCTGAAATGTTTCTTTTGTGAAATCAGGTGACAGTCTTATGGGAGCTCCCTTGTAGGTCAGTAACTGTCTTTCTCTTGCTGCTTTTAAGATTATCTCTTTGTCTTTCACCTCTGCCATTTTAATTATGATGTGTCTTGGTGTGGGCCTCTTTGGATTTGTCTTGTTTGTGACTCTCTGTGATTCCTGGAGTTGTATTTCTTTTCCTTCACCCAGTTAGAAAAGTTTTCAGTCATTATTTCTCCAAATAGGTTCTTCATCCTTTGCTCTCTCTCTTCTCCTTCTGGTACCCCTAGGATGTAGATGTTGTTATGCTTCCTGTTGTTCTACAGGTCCCTTATACTATCCTCATTTTTAAAAGTTCTTTTTTCTTTTATTGTTGCTCAGATTGGGTGTTTTCTGCTTGTCTTCCAAATTGCTGATTCAGTCCTCTGCTTCATCCTATCTACTGTTTATTTCTTCTAGTGTAGTCTTCATTTCTGAGTGTTTTTTAAAATGGTTTCTCTGTCCTTTTTTATGTTCATTACCTCTTTGTTGAAGTTCTCACTAAGTTCCTTGATCATTTTTTTTTTCCTTTTTCTTTTTTTGGTGGTATGTGCCCCTAGCAGGGACTGAACCCGGGACTTTCTGGTCCGCAGGCCGATGCTCAACCGCTGAGCCAAACTGGCCAGGGCTCCTTGATTATTCTTTTTTTTTTTTTTATGTTTTGTTCAGAGAGAGTGGGAGGGAGAGAAAAAGAGAGAGAGTAACATCCACGTGAAAGGGACACATGGAGTAGTTGCCACCCGCACGACCAACCAGGGCCGGGGACAAACTGCAACCGAGGTACGTGCCCTTAGCAGGAACTCAACCCGGGTCTCTCGGGACCGCAGACTGACGTTCTTACCGCTGAGCCAAACTGGCCAGGAGGGAGAATGTGCTGGGCCCTCTGTCCTAGGGGTTCCTAGGGTAGAGATTTTAGGGGAGGTCCCAGGAGAAGGTTTCAGTAGACTATTCAGTAGCTTTTCAGGTGTGTTTTTATTTAGGGTCAGGGTCTCCACTGACTGATTGGCACCAGGGCAGGGGGTCATTATCCAATGTAGCTAGTCCTGAGGTCAGCCATGGCATCACTTTGGTTTTGCACCTTTTCTGAACCTGGAGCTGAAATATAATTGAAGCCTAGATGTTTTCTCTAGGGAGGAAAGGTCATGGGATCTAAACTGAATGACTAGCAAATACGCTAGAGGAGGAAAGGTCATCCTGGGGGGCAAAGTACCACTCTAAAATTGTCTATTGCTAGGCAACCTGGGTTTTCTACCTTGGTGACCTTCTGTACCTGGACCATCATCCTTGCTCTGCTCATGTCCATCTAACTGCCTACCACAGGACATTTGCTGAGTGGCCTCAGACCCAGCACTGGTATGGAGTTTGAACCTGTATCAAGCTGATGAACATCACTCACTCCTACTGGTGACTCACTGAGAACCTACCGCATGCTACTTGAATTCCACCAGAGGCTCTTTCAGTGGCTGAGCCTAATAGGCAGCTGACAGGTGAAGGTGAATCTCAGAGTGCCTTAGAACGGTTGCTGACCTACACCTGAGCCTGGTGATGGTAAAAGCTGGCCTTGGCGTACAGCTTGGTCCTTCCCATACACACCCAGGCCCAGAAGAGGCAGCCACAAATTGTGGATTGCTTTGTAGCTATAAACAAGTTGTCCAGGGCAAGTCACGGGCAGTGTCTGACATTGGCCTGCACCAGAGTCCCTCCCAAGAGGTCCCAGAACCAATACACCCAGTGGTCAGCTGCAGGAAGTACCACAGCAAGATCCAATTAGCTATACAAGTGGCATAGTCAAAGGCAAATGTTGGCAGGCATCAGATACTGCTGAAGTGAATCCCATTTTGTGTGGTCAGCACCTACACAGGAACTCATACACTGAGGTACAGGTCAATCCTTACAGTCAGCCAACTTGAGAGTCAATCCCACACAGAAACAGGCCAGTAGAAATCTGTACTTAATTACAACAGAATGGCCCACATAACCCACATACAAAAAATTCCTGGAGCAACCAGCTCAGGTGATCAAGGAGACTGCACCACTGGGTTCCACAGGACATCTACATAAGACAACCCTACCAAGATTGGAAGTCATAGTAGATCTACCTAATACATAGAAACAACTACAAAGAGACAGCCAGAAAGAGGACCTGTGCCTTTCCCTTCTCCCTGCCCATCCCCCAAGCATGTTACTATTACCTTCCTCACTTCCAAGCTCCAAGGGCCCTTCTTTTGCTTCTATAACTTGTTTCCTAAGCCCATTTCTTCTATGAATTACTTCTTATACCTCTGTGATTTTCTAAATAAGTATTCTCTTATAGTTTGAGTCTGTGAACTCTTTCCTAGCCAGAACTCAAGTACCAAATTTGCTGAACCCAGGTCCAGTCTGACCCCACTGGTCTAATACCTGGTACCGTTCCCCCCCCCACCAGTCCCAGTACATATCAAGTCTAGCTGCCACCCACTGGGTGCTCACACACCTTTGTGGTAGGGTGGGGTCTCAGGAAGTTTGTGGTAGAGTGCTGGTCTTAAATGAGGTCAGCAGAGTTTATCAGGCCCAAACAGACTAAGATTTGTCCATGTGAAGGAAGGACTCTGCACTGCTCAGGCATTTGGGGAAAAATAGTCCCTGTCCTAGAGCCACACTACTGTCTGTCCCAGTTCTTCCAGGAGCCTGATCTCAGCAGGGTAGGGCCATTGGGCATCAGAACAGGGCTAGTGGATCTCTATTAAGGGAGAGGTGCCATCATACTTCGGGGAAGGTGGAGGGAGTGGCCCTCCACCCGAGAAACACAACTCAGCCTGTCCTGGGTTCTGCCCAGACCTTGGCAGGGCAGAGCCACCAGCAATCTGGAGGGTGGGGGCTACTGGGAGCCAGGAGAGTGGGGCTAGCAGATTTCCTGTGAGGGGTAGGAGCCGGTCAGGTTCACAGGAAAGTTTAGGAAATGTCCCCTGCCCCAAAGCCACACAACTCAGTTACTGACAGCCCCTGAGTAGACTCTCGACTGCCATCTCTCCATGACAGACAGAATCCCCACTTATTTTCACAGCCAGAGTTATGTAGGCACCTCTTGCGAGCTCTGATGTTCTGTGCTGGGGAGTCTGGCCTGGGGTTGAGACTTCTCAGGTTGAGACTTCTCAGGGGGTTGAGACCTCTCAGGGGGTTGAGACCTCTCAGGAAGAACCAAAAGGCTATCTCAGCTGCTACCTCTGGGAATGAGGCCAGCCCTTTTCTCTTCTTTCCTTTTTCTTTTCTTTTCTTTCTCTCTCTCTCCTCTTTCTTTCCCCTCCCTCCCTCCCTCTCTCCCTCCCTCCCTCCCTCCCTCCCTTCCTTCCTCCCTTCCTCCCTTCCTTACTTGCTCACTTACCTTCCTTCCCTTCCTTCCTCCCTTCCCTTCCTTCCTTCCTTCCTTCCTTTTATCCTCACCCAAGGATATTTTTCTATTTATCTTCAGATAAAGTGGGAGGGAAGGAAGGAGGGAGGGAGAGAGAAACATCGATGTGAGACACATCGACTGGCTGCCTCCCATATGACCCACACCATAGCCAAAGACAAATTACATCCAAAGTACATGCCTTTGATCAGAATCAAACCAGAGACTCATTGATCCGTGGGCCGGCGCTCTAACCACTGAGAGAAAACGGCCAGGGCTCTTTCTTTTTTCAAAAATATATTTTGTATTGATTTTTAGAGAGAGAGGGGAAGGGAGAGGGAGAAAGAGAAACATTGATGGGAGAGTGAAACATCAATTGGCTGCCTCCTGCACACCCCTACCAGGGATGAGCCCGCAACCGGAGCACGTGCCCTGACTAGGAATTGAACCAGCAACCTTTTGGTGCACAGGACAGTGCCCAACCAACAGCAATTCCAGCCAGGGCAGGACAGCCCTTTTTGCGTCTCCACTCTTCCTACCAGTCTCAACGAAGCTTCTTCTGTAAATCCTTGGTTTTAAGACTTCTCTTCAGCTGGTTATTCAGGTTGATTGCTCTACATTTCAGTTGTAATTCCAGTTTGATCCTGGGAGGTGAATGTAATATCCACCTAGTCTGTCACCATCCTGGATGTCCCGAAGTTTGCCATTTTAAAATTAAGACTGTTGCCTCCTTGTGTTCACTAACCCTAAACTAATAACAACCTTTTCTCAATCCTTACCAATTCCCCACTTTGAGAGACCCATCCTTAACATAAACAAACTGAGTCCTTATCCCAAAGTCCTGAAGATAACTTACACAAATATTTCTCTTTTGAATCATTACCAAGATTCTGCCAAGCTGATATTCTTCCTTGCTATAGCTTTAAATACTCAGCTTTGTTTAATCAATAGGTGTCTGTGGTGAACCTTGTGGGGAATCAAAAATTGATAGACGTATCTTTTTGAAATATAAATGGAAATATTTATAGATAAAGTGATATAACTTCTGAGATATGCTCCAAAATTAATTTTTAAATAACCAGAGAAATTAGATAGGGGTAGTAAAATTGGTCATAAAGTTTTGATGATGGGAGTTCATTATAATACTCTGTCTGCTTTTGTATGTTTTAAATTCTCTGTAATAATAAAAAAGTTATTTTTTGATTTCAAGTCCTTAAGAGGAATGTTCATTAAGTTCACATTAAAGTTACATTATTTTACCATAACTACCAGACTTATATCCAGACAGCATCTAGCCAAACTTTACCTAAGTTATACTGAATTTTGCTCCTGATGGAAGGCACAGAAGAGCAGACTGGTTGTAGATTTGAGAGAAATAATTATTTGTAATGCCCTGCTACAACACCCCTAATGCATAACTAATAGATGTAATCAACTTAAATTTGACATTTAAATCTTCGTTAAAAGTGGGTACAGAACATTTTCTGTGCTTTATTTATTCAGAGAGTCAAACTGTGCTATAGTCTGCTAAACTCTTAGTTGTGCTTAGAATGTGCTCTCTCCTATGTTCTATTCTGGAAAAATGAAGCTTCTTATTCTTTCTTAGAATCTTATACCCTGAAATGGGCAGTTATTATGATTATGCACAGACAGAGTGATGTCCAATTTAAGGTTTTGAATAGCTACTTGTATAAGTTGACTTTTCTGTGCATTTATATCGAGGAGGATCCAGCTCAGGTTGATGTCCTGGGAACCAGTGAGGCTCTCGCTTAAATCCTGAGGAAAGAGAAAAGAGAAAAGAGAAGGAAAGACAAGTGGAATCAATAAATAGCAAGGAGTCTTAGTAACAAATTTCACTCTTATTTCTGAAGGAATAGAGAGTGAATACTGCCAAAATTCAAAAAAGAGAGAAATTATTCATTCATTCACTCATTTAGTTTACTTTTATTTCAGTTCCTTCTACGTTTTAGGTCTTGAGTTAGGTCCTGAGCATTTAAAAATTAAAATGAGAGTGTTATCTCAATCCACTGAGGTTTTGCTTCCTGGCTTTTGTTGACAGTTTGGCTCAAGTAAACTCACAAATTCTTCACAGGTTTGAACGATTCTTATGTTGACAGTAGAAACATGAAGAAGTTTTTCTCAGACATTTACTGTGAGAACCTGGTCAAACTCCTGGAAGAAAACTCAACAAAAGAGACTTCATTGTCTCCTGACCAATGACTTATCAAATTCCTTGAGAACAGAACAAAGGAGAGAAAAGATAAAAAGGGCGGTATAGTGAAGGGAAGCTACACAGACCATCTCCTAAGACCAAACTGGAATTACAACTAAAATAAAGACAAATCATCAGGAAAAATGAACAGAAAAGCAGCTGAACAGAACTATCTAATCTCACAACTTAAAGAACTACAAAGCAAACAAAAAGAAAAACCCAGAGCAAGTAGAAGAAAAGAAATAGTAAAGGTCAGAGCAGAAATAAACGACATAGAGACTAAAAAAATAATTCAAAAGATCAATGAAACAAAGAGCTGGTTCTTTGAAAGATAAACAAGATTGATGGACCTAACTTAGCCAGACTCACCAGGAAACTGAGAGAGAGGACCCAAATAAACAACATTAGAAATGAAATAGAAGAGGTAACAACTGATACCACAGAAATGCAAAGGATCATTAAGAAATACTATTAACAATTATTTACCAACAAATTAGACAATCAAGGCAAAATGGACAAATTTCTAGAATCACACAGTCTCCCAAAACTGAACCAGGAAAAGGTAGAAACCTTGAACAGACCAATAACAACTGAGGAAATTGAAAATGTAATCAAGAAACTCCCAGTAAACAGAAGCCCGGGCCTGGATGGCTTCACAGGGAATTTTATTGAACATTCAAAGAAGAACTAACGTCCATTCTCTTCAAACTATTCCAAGAAACTCAAGAAGAAGGAAGACTTCCAAACTCATTTTATGAGGCCAGCATAATTCTAACCCTAAAACCAGAAAAAGACACTACAAAGAAAGAAAACTACAGGCCAACGTCCTGATGAACATTGATGCCAAAATCCTGAACAAAATATTAGCAAGTCGGATCCAGCAATACATTTTTAAAAAGTATTCACTGTGACCAAGTGGGATTCATCCCAGGGATGCAAGGATAGTACAATATTTACAAATCAAAAAATGCGATATACCACATAAACAAAATGAAAGATAAAAACCATATGATCATATCAATAGACACTGAAAAAGCATTCAACAAAATCCAGCACCCATTGCTGATAAAAATGCTCATCAATGTGGGTATAGAGGAATCATATCTTGACAAAATAAAGGCCATATATGAAAAACCTACAGCCAACATCATACTCAATGGGCAAAACTAAAAGCATTTCCCTTAAGAACAGGAACACAACACGAATGCCCACTTTCACCACTGTTATTTAACATAGTACTGAAAGTCTTAGCCATAGCAATTAGACATAAAGAAAAAATAAAAGGGATCCAAATTGGAAAGGAGGAAGTGAAACTGTCATTATTTGCAGATGACGTGATATTATACATAGAAAACCCTAAAGACTCCATTAAATATCTACTAGATTTAATAAATGAATTGGGCAAAGGAGCAGGATACAAAATTAACATCAAGAAATCGATGGCATTCTTATACAGCAATAATGAACTCACAGAAAGAGAATCTAAAAAAACAATCACATTTACCACTGCAGCAAAAATAAGTAAGATACCTAGGAATAAACTTTGGTTTTTTTTTTTTGTTTGTTTGTTTGTTTTTTAATCCTCATCCGAGGATATTTTTCCATTTTTTGTACAGATAGAGTGGGAGGGAGAGAGAGGAAGGGAGAGAGAGAGAGAGAAACATCGACGCGAAGGGACACATCGAGTGGCTGCCACCCGCACGACCAACCAGGGCCGGGGACAAACTGCAACCGAAGTACGTGCCCTTAGCGGGAACTGAACCCGGGTCTCTCCGGACCGCAGGCCGACGCTCTAACCGCTGAGCCAAACCGGCCAGGGCTGCTTTGGGTTTTTTTATCCTCACCCGAGGACATTTTTCCATTTTTTGTTCAGGTAGAGTGGGAGGGAGAGAGATGAAGAGAGAAACATCGACATGAAAGGGACACATCGAGTGGCTGCCACCCACACGACCAACCAGGGGCGGGGACAAACTGCAACCGAGGCACATGCCCTTAGCGGGAACCGAACCGGGTCTCTGTGGACCGCAGGCCGATGCTCTAATCGCCGAGCCAAACCGGCCAGGGCCCTAGGAATAAACTTAACCAAAGAAGTAAAGGACCTCTTCACAAAAAACTACAGGTCATTGAAAAAAGAAATAGAGTAAGATATAAAAAGTGGAAACACATATCTTGTTCATGGATTGGAAGAATTAATATCATTAAAATGTCCATATTACCCAAAGCAATCTATAGATTCAATGCAATCCCCATCAAAATACCAATGACATATTTCACAGAACTAGAACAAATACATCAAAAGTTCATATGGAACCAAAAAAGACCCTGAATAGCCAGAGCAATCTTGAAAAAGAAGGACAAAGTAGGTGGGATCACAATACTGGATATCAGGTTATACTACAAAGCTACTATAATCAAAACAGCCTGGCACTGGCACAAGAATAAGCATATAGACCAGTGGAACAGAACAGAGAACCCAGAAATGGACTCAAGACATTATGCTCAATTAATATTTAACAAAGGAGGCAAGAGCATACAATAGAGTAACGACAGCCTCTTTAAGAAATAGTGTTGGGAAAATTGGACAGCTACATGCAAAAAAATGAAACTAGACCATCAACTTACACCATACAGAAGAATAAACTCAAAATGGATAAAAGACTTAAATGTGAGCCATGAACCCATAAATATTTTTGAAGAAAATGTAGGCAACAAAATTTCAGACATCATACACAGCAGAATTTTCACTGATACATCACCTAAAGAAACAGAAAAAAAGGAAAAAAATGAACTTATGGGACTACATCAAACTCAAAAGCTTCTGCACAACAAAAGAAATAACCATCAAAATGGAAAGGCAACCCACTGTATGGGACAGCCTATCTGCCAGTGATACATCAGATGAGGGGTTAATTTCCAAAATATATAGAGTACTCATATAACTCAACAAAAGAAAGACAAAGAACCCAATTACAAAATGGGCAGAGGAGCTAAATAGACACCTCTCAAACAGGACATACAAATGGTCAAGAGACACATGAAGAAATGCTCAACATCACTAATCATCAGAGAGATGCAAATTAAAACAACAATGAGGTATCACCTCACACCTGCCAGAATGGCCGCCATCAACAAATCATCAAACAACAAGTGCTGGCGAGGGCATGGGGAAAAGGGGACTCTAGTACACTGCTGGTGGGAATGCAGACTGGTGCAGCCACTATGGAAAACACTATAGTGTTTCCTCAAAAAATTAAAAATTGAACTTCCATTTGACTTAGTGATCCCACTTCTAGAAATATACCCTAAGAAGCCTGAAACACCAATCAGAAAGAATATATGTACCCCCATGATAGCACTATTTACAAGTAGCACAATTTACAAAAGATCTGGAAACAGCCCAAGTGTCCATTAGTAGACGGGTGGATTAAAAAGCTGTGGTACATATACACAATGGAGTACTAAGCAGCTCTAAGAAAGAAAGATCTCTTATCCTTTGAGATGACATGGAGGGACCTGGAAAGTATTATCCTCAGCAAAACAAGCCAAGCAGAGAAAGACAAATATCACATAATCTCACTTATTTGTGGAATATAATGAACATAACAGTCTGAGGAATTGGGTAGACCAAGAGACATGGAAGTAGGGTACAGACTGACAACCCTCAGAAGAGGGGGTCGTGGGGGGAGGGAAGAGATAAACCACAGAACTTATATGCATGTATGTATAACTGATGGACACGGACAATAAAGTTGGGTATTGGGTGGGGGGGATGGGGAGGAGGGTGTCAATGGGGAAAAAAGGAGAAACATCTGTAACAACAACAGAAAAAGCAATAGGTGGATTTATTCTTCAACATAGCATGGGGAAAAAGGGGAGGGGAGTTAGGGTTAGAGATTATAAAAATGTGTTAACCACATGCAGTATGTGCCCTTCCTTTGATATCAATTGGTACAAAATAGTAAAAGGCCCTGGCCGGTTTGGCTCAGCGGTTAGAGCGTCGGCCTGCGGTCCAGAGAGACCCGGGTTCGGTTCCCGCTAAGGGCATGTACTTCGGTTGCAGTTTGTCCCCGGCCCTGGTTGGTCGTGCGGGTGGCAGCCACTCGATGTGTCCCTTCACGTCGATGTTTCTCTCTCTCTCTCCCTCCTATTCTATCTGTACAAAAAATGGAAAAATATCCTCGGGTGAGGATTAAAAAAAAAAAAAAAAAAATAGTAAAAGGACATTTTCAAGACAATTGGGAAAATGGCAAAGACTGGATGTGATATTAAAGAATTATTTTGTTGCCCTGGCCGGTTTGGCTCAGCGGTTGGAGCGTCAGCCTGCAGTCCAGAGAGACCGTGGTTCGGTTCCCGCTAAGGGCATGTGCCCTGGTTGCAGTTTGTCCCCGGCCCTGGTTGGTCGCGTGGGTGGCAGCCACTCGATGTGTCCCTTTCACATCGATGTTTCTCTCTCTCTCTCTCTCTCCCCCTCCCACTCTATCTGAACAAAAAATGGAAAAATGTCCTCGGGTGAGGATTTAAAAAATAAAAATAAAGGTGCGGAAAAAAAAAAAGGAATTATTTTGTTAAGTGTGAAAAAAAAAAAAAAAAAAGATGAAACCCTAGAAGGTCTGGGTTCTAATCTTAAGTGAACCAGCAATGTAACCCCTGGCAAATTTTCTCATCTATAAAATGATGAGGACGGATGAAATAACCAACATAAATCTTCACATCCAAGATATAAGAATAAAATACAAAGACACTGGAATTTGCAATATATAGACCTTATTTGGATCCTGGTTCAAACAAACTGTAAAAAATATTTTTAAGGATAAGACGAGAGGGAAATTTGAACCCTGGGTTTTTATTTGATGCTATTAAACATTCTTGTTACATTTTCGAAAAAAAAAAAAAAATTAAAAAAAATGTCCATACTACCCAAAGCAATTTATAGATTCAATGTAATCCCCATCAAAATACCAATGACATATTTCTCAGAACTGGAACAAATACTTCAAAAGTTCATATGGAACCAAAAAAGACCTCAAATAGTCACAGCAATCTTGAAAAAGAAGACAAAGTAGATGGGATCACAATACCAGATATCAGGCTATACTACAAAGCTACTGTAATCAAAATAGCCTGGTACTGGCACAAGAACAGGCAGATAGATCAATGGAACAGAAGAGAGAACCCAGAAATTGAACCAAGACAATATGCTCAATTAATATTTGATAAAGGTGGTAAGAGCATACAGTGGAGTCATGACAATCTCTTCAATAAATGGTGTTGGGAAAATTGGACAGCTACTTACAAAAAAATGAAGCTAGACCACCAACTTACACCATACACAAAAATAAATTCAAAATGGATAAAAGACTTAATTATAACTTGTGAATCCATAAAAATTCTAGAAGAAAGTGTAGGCAACAAAATTCCAGACATTATCTGCAGCACAATTTTTACTGATACAACGCCTAAGGCAAGAGAAACAAAGGAAAAAATGAACACATGGGAATACACCAAACTAAAAAGCTTCTGCACAACAAAAGAAACAACCATCAAAATGGAAAGGGAATCCACTACATGGGAGAGCATAATTGCCAACAATATATCAGATAAGGGGTTAATTTACAAAATATATAGAGTACTCATACAACTCAACAAATGGAAGACAAAGAACCCAATTAAGAAATGGGCAGAGGACCTAAATAGACACCTCTCCAAACAAGACACACAAATGGCCAAGAGACATATGAAAAAAATGCTCATGGTCACTAATCATCAGAGAGATGCAAATTAAAATGACTTTGATGTATTACCTCATACCTGCCAGAATGGCTGCCATCAACAAATCATCAAACAAGTGCTAGTGAGGGTTTGGAGAAAAGGGGACTCTAGTTCACTGCTGGTGGGAATGCAGAGTGGTGCAGCCACCATGGAAAACAAAATGGTGTTTCCTCAAAAAATAAAAAATTGAACTTCCATTTGACCCAGTGATCCCACTTCTAGGAATATATCCTAAGAAGCCTGAAACACCAATCAGAAAGAATGTATGTGCCCCTGTGTTCATAACAACACTATTTACAATTGCTGAGATCTGGAAGCAGCCCAAATGTCTATCAATAGATGAGTGGGTAAAAAAGCTGTGGTACATTTACACAATGGAACACTATGCAGCTGTAAGAAAGAAAGATCTCTTATCCTTTGAGATGACTTGGAGGGACTTGGAAAGTATTATGGTAAGCAAAATAAGCCAATTAGAGAAAGACAAATATCACATGATCTCACTTATTTGTAAAATATAATGAACAAAATAAGCTGATGAACAAAATAGACCCAGAGACATAGAAAGGAGTATGGTTCAGACTGACAACCTCAGAGGAGGGGGGCAAGAGGAGGGGAGAGGGATGAGATAAACCCAATAAGTTATATGCATGTATGTATAACCAATGGACATAGACAACATTCCTGTGGTGGTGGTGGTGGGGGGGTAGGGGGGTGGGATCAGGAAGAGGGTGTCTAGGGGGGGGAAAGGGGAAACATCTGTGACAAAAATAATTAATAAAATAAAAATAAATAAATAAAAATTAAAAAGAGCCCTAGCCAGTCTGGCTCAGCAGTTAGAGCATTGGCCTGTGGACTAGAGTTGTGGGTTAGATTCCGGTCAAGGGCACGTACCTCGATTGCGGTTCGTCCCTGGTCCTGGTCAGGGTTGTGTAGGAGACAGCCAATCGATTTGTCTCTCTCACATAGATGTTTCTCTCTTTCTCTTTCCCCTTCCCTCCCACTCTATCTGAAGATAAATGGAAAAATATCCTCAGGTAAGGATTAAAAATAGATAAATAAAAATGAAAATACATAGTCCACCTACTATGGTTTGAAAGTGGCATTTTGTTGTTGTAGCTTATATCGTATGTTGTTTCAAAGTAGTGTCCAAACTGGAAAGAAAAAGTAACAGATTAAAAATATAGCAGTCTATAACCAATATCTGGAAATAAAGTACACAGTGACATGAATTCTAACAGGCTCTGTCATACTTTAGATTGACTAGAGTTCTATATGTCATTACTCTATATCATACTACATTTCATAACCTTTGTATATTTGTTTGCTTAGGAAAGCTACAGGGGCAAAAACCAGGGGAAAAGCTAGCCATAGTCAAAAGACTTTATATATTTCTGTAGATGAATAAAGTTCAAACAGAAGCATGAGAGAGTACTACACATCTTTTTATTATCTTACAATATTACAACATTCAACTTGATAATAAAGTGGGATAGGTGTTCCAGCTAAGAACTACTGCCCTCCTCCAACCACTTCACTGAACAGAAGCACAAGAGATTTCGGCATTAGAAGTTATTAGATTCCTGCCTTTCAAATGGCCACTGGTATTTCTTGTGCTAACAGAAGGAACCAAAGAAAGAGAAAGTTACATTACCTGGGAAGGTAAAGGTTTGGGCTGCATAATATTCTTTAGGTCATATCTTTCCTGGTTCCAGTTGCCCATCAGGGTATGGTTTGAATAGGCATTCTCATTAGTGGTGCATCTCCATCCATACTGGAAAAACTTGGACATATCATTCCAATCTGTCCACACTTCAGCATGGCCATCTGCATTAATGAGGCTGCCATAGTGTGGGTTTTTAAGAAAACAGGTGAGGAACTCTCTCTGGGAAAAGGCGAGAATAGAAAAGCTTGTTATACAGATCAGAGAGCAGAAGAGGCATCCCTTTGTCATCCTTGGCCAAGCACAATATAAGTACACTGTAGCAAGAGTCTACACTTTCCTCTAAATTTAATTGTTGTCATTCTGTTTCTTTTTTGTCCAGGTCCACAAGTCCTTTGACCTATCCTCTCAATTAGCAGTAATGGATGACTATGCAGATTAAATGCTCCCTCTCAAAAAGACAGAAAAACTTCACTACCCCCAATACTATATATTAGCTAAATAGTCAGGTAATTTTGAGATGAACCAAGACTATTGCCCTGGCCGGTGTGGCTCAGTGGTTGAGCAACAACTCATGCACCAAGAGGTCGCTGGTTCGATTCCCGGTCAAGGCACATGCCCAGGTTGTGGGCCAGATCACCAGTGGAGGGCATGCAGGAACTGGCCAATCGATGTTTCTCTCTCTCTCTCCCTCTCCCTTCCTCTCTCTCTAAAATCAATAAGGAAAAAAAAAAAGATAGTGAGTTCAATTCCTGGTCAGGGGACACACCCAGGTTGCAGGTTCCATCCCTGCTCAGGGTTGTGCAGGAGGCAACTAACCAATGTTTCTCTTTCATATGTATTTTTTTCTCTCTCTTTCTCTCCCTTCATCTCTCTAAAAATCAATTTTAAAATATTTTTAAAAGAACTAAGAGTATTGTTATAGTCAAAGAGAATAGGGAGAAGTGAGAACTGGGAAACTAGATTAGTGAGAACTGGAAAACAATAAATTATCAATAAATGATAGTATATTTCCTTCTAGGCCCAGTTCAAATGCCACTTATTCCATATGTCTTCTCTCATTAACTTCTCATTGGTCTCACACAATACTTCATGTTCATATCTTTCTGTATGTATAACTTCTACCATGTGTCAAGAGTTCTTGAAGTATGCCTTGAATCCCTCATACTGAACTGCAGATCCCTGAGGACAGGATCTGTGTATTATTCATTATCACACCCTCTCCTCCTGCCTGCCCTCTCAATCAACAGTTCTTTGAACATACCAGATGACCAATGTCTGAATTTCAATTTTTGTGAGAAATCAAAAGCCTACCCATTTTTATTTTTGGCAAAAATAAAAAAGTCTGGTCTCTTGGCTTAGGAGCAAGACAATACCTTCAATGAAGAGTAATTTGATTCTGAGTAGCTTCTGTTGTTTGTAGATTCTATAGGAGAGTGACAAGAAACCTTATCCTTTTTGTCCATGTTCTTTAAAGGAAGAGATATCACCAAACATGGCCCTCCCAGTTCTCCAAGCAAAGAAAGACTGTAGATCATCTAGATCACCATGACCAGGTGGCCATGATTTGGGAGTCACCACTCACCCACCCTTTCACAGGTAAGGACAAAGCCAACACTGTAGGTTTAAAGGTAACTGTCTTTACACCCGTTGTCTTTGTGAAGATAGATGCATGCACTGATGTCAACAAACAGCATGATGACTAAAGTGCAGCTGGACCCACAATGCCCAACAGGCTTAGTATTCAGACTGCAGACCAAGGTGATATTGTCCTGGGCTGTAGGAAAGATATCACCATCCACTCAGTTGTCTACTCTTGGAACCTGGGGCTTGTCGTTGACACTGATTTTTCATTCAACTCCCTACATCTGTCCAATCACGAGGTCTTGTTGATTTTTTAATTAGCCCACTAGCCTCTATCTGCCAAGTTCCAATTCAAATCACTATCAGCCCTGGACTCTATGATTGCAGTGGCCTCCTATCTGATCTCCTTGCCATCAGCCTAGTTCTCCAGTCCTTCTCCACAAAAAAGTAGGGCTTTCCAAAATAAAAATCTAATTGTATCCTCTTCCTATTCACAATGTTTCAGTGTCTGGCCACTGTTTCAGAATACGGTTCCGGCTGTTAAAATGGCTTATAATGCTCTATATGACCTGGCCACTGCTTAATTTTTCAGTCTCATCTGTTATCCCTTCTCCTTCTAACATTTCAGCCAAACTCAAGTATTCTGTTTCTCCATCATGCTTTTGCATATATTGTTCCTTCTGACTCTTCACTCCTCCTGACCCAGGTAAACTGTACTTTTCCCTCTTAGCTTTCAACTCAGATTTCAATGCCAGGGAATCTTTCACTTTGCCCTCAAAATAGTAAGGCTGCTTCTGTGTGCTCCCATTGCAACCTGAATTACTCCCCCCGTAGCTGTATCAGAATCGCCTCTTTTGCTGCGCATCCTTCACCAGACTACAAGCACATATCTTGCTCATCCATACGCGTATCTAACCGTCCTCACAGGGACACATAACAGGCATTCAGTATTTTTTGAATAAAAGGCAGGAGATCGAAGCACCTGGAGAAAATCCGAGCAGTAGAGACAACGGGCAGCAGCCATGTCGGGTGAGAAGAAGGCTTATAAAATCCTCTGTGACAGGAAAATGCAGAACACTGCCGGTTTTAATCTCTCCTTGGCTTCTTTCACTCAGAACTCGCCTCACCCTCGGCCTGTCCCTCTGCGCTACCGACTGCTTGTGACCTCATGCACGTGTGACGACGTCGCTCAGGGCCACCGGCGGAAAGGTTTTATTCTGACACTCCCGAGGGGGTGGGAGGAGTGAGGGGACGTCGTGGCCGGCGTCTCCCTTTTGCACTCAAGGCTCTTTTCCATTCCTGGGTGTTACTGCACTAATTTGCCTAGGCCACCCAGCGCTGTGATGCGTCATCAAACAGCGACGGATGAGGAGCAGGCGGCCAGAGACTCGCGAAGGAAGTGACGTCATAAGTGAGCGCTTCCGAGCACGCGAGGGGGGAACAAGGGGCGGCCATGGCTCCTCGGCGCCTCCTGTTGGTCGGGGAGGGGAATTTCTCCTTCGCCGTCGCTGTAAGCGAGACCCTGGATCCGAGCACTAGTCTCACCGCCACCTGCCTCCAGCGCCCGGCGGACCTTACCCCGGACCCGGTGGCCCGGGAGAACCTGCAGCGCCTGCGCGAGCGAGGTAGCGAGGCCCACCCTTCGCGAAGCCCCGCCCAGCGGGCGGCGCGGCCGGGCGTGGAAAGGGTGGGAACGTGGGGAGTCAGGTGACGTGAGGATTGCTCCCGAGCAGCCCTCGAGCATTTGCAGAAAACTCGCTCCGGGCCTAGATCAGGGTTCTTTCGCACGGTTCACGTTAGGAAGGGTTTTCTCCCGCTCCAGGTCTTAAGACATCCTCCCGTTTATATTTCGTGCCAGGTACCAAGATACGTTTTGGCGTGGACTGCACCCAGCTGGCAGATGCCTTTGAACTGCACGAAAGGGAGTTTGATCGAATTTGTTTTAACTTTCCTCACTGTGGTCGCAAAGCTGGAGTAGCTAGGAACAGGGACCTGCTTGCCAAATTTTTTCAGAGGTGAGGAAAGGAGAGCACTCACAGTGAAATGTTTAAGATGTACATGACATACTGCATTCAAACATTTAAGTTTGGGAAATTAGGCATAGGTGTATAAAATACTATGTTAGGTTTGCAAAGAATATAAAGCTCCAAAAGAACACACAGTCAAGTTGGAAAGGCAGACGTGTAACCCCTAAATGCCAAATAAAAGTACAAATAGTGTGCTCGTGGGCACGTAAAGGGATGATCACCTAATTTTGATAATGCAAAATAATGGTAACCAGTGTAGTCCAATGCTGAAGAGTATGGATTTAGGAGCCAAACAGCCCACTACTTAACTACTTGTATGATTTTAGGTAAGGTTACTTAATCCTTTTGGTTTTCTCATCTATAAACTGAGGATATTAATAGTAACTACCTCATAAAATTATTGGGAATTTGCCACAGTGCTTTACACCATCAATTTTCAAATGGTGTGCCTGTAGGAATTTTTTGTTTTGTTAATCCTCACCCAAGGCTATATATAATTGTTGTTAATCCTCACCTGAGGATATTTTTCCATTAATTTTTTTTTAGAAAGAGTGGAAGGGAGTGGGTGGGGGAGGGGGGGACATGGACATGAGAGAGAGACATGAATTAGTTGCCTCCCACACAACCCCAGCCAGGGTCATGGACTGAACCTGCAACCCAGGTACGTGCCCTTGACTGGGAATTGAACCCATGACCCTTTGGTCTGAAGGCCTATGCTCTAACTGCTGAACCAAACCGGCCTGGGCTAAGGATATTTTTTCTGTTGATTCTTACAGAGAGTGGAAGGGAGGAAGGAAGGGGAGAAAGAAACATCAATGTGAGAGACACATTGATTGGTTGCCTCCTGCACAACACCAATCAGGGCAAGGGATCAAACCTGCAACCCAGCCCTGGCCGGTTTGGCTCAGCGGTTAGAGTATTGGCCTGCAGTCCATGTCGATGTTTCTTTCTCTCTCTCTCTTCCTCTCTCTCCCTCCCACTCTATCTGAACAAAAAATGGAAAAATGTCCTTGGGTGAGGATTAAATGAATTATTAAAAAAACCCCAAAAACAAAACCCTGCAACCCAACTAAGTACCCTTGACCAGAATTGAACCTGAGACCTTTTGGTGTGTGTGCCGATGCTCTATCCACTGAGCAACACCAGCCAGGACAGGATTTTTAAAACATGCAATACAATAGTACCTCACTATTTAGTCAGAGGTACTGACTGCTTTTCCTTTAGATAGTCAAATAAAAAAATGACAACAATAGCCGTTTGGTGTGAATAAGTCAAAATTATACCTATTTTTTTTTTTGTCATATTGGCAAAAAATATATTTTTTATTGTGCCACAGAATTTTAGTAGTTTATGTGTGCCATAAGATGAAAAAGGTTGAAAATTGCTGCTTTGTACTATTATACCAAAACGTGATATAATTGGAGGTCTTTTGGGGTCACAATTGTCAACAAACTTAACAGAGGCAGTATTTTAGTTAATATTTAAAGTATAGAATTTTAATAGGCAGGAGGGAAATGAAAAGAACATCTTTCTCCACAGGGAAGAACAGCCTGATCAGTGAATCCTATATAGGGACTTTGCAGACATTGAACTTTCTATGACATGTAGGTGAACAATGCAAATGCCAAGCTGATAACACTGTAGTCATTCACTAGTGTCAGTTGTGAGTTGAACATTGAATTTACATTCTTATTTCCTTCCAACCACTTTCTTTGCATGTTTGAAGTCTAGTAGACCTTTGCCAATGGTTATGACTGGATTTAATTACTTCACAGCCAAACTATGTATATACAACTAAGTCCTGTGGTAATTTCTACTTGTTTCTAATAAGTGGCTGGTGTCCTCATCCCCTATTAGCTGTGCAGATGTTCTTGCAGAAGAAGGAGAAGTCCATGTGGCATTGTGTAGAGGACAAGGTGGGACTCCTGCTGATAATCCCACAAGAGAATGGCACAACAGTTGGCAAGTGGTTGCCATGGCAGCTCTGGGGGGATTCATTTTAAGTGATGTGCATCCCTTCAGCTATGAGGCTGTGCCAGGGTACAAGTGCACTGGATATAGGTAAGTAATAACAGAGGTCTAACTAAGCCTTTTCAGCTCTCTAATTATAAAAAAATCTCATAGATAAACTTTTTTCTTGCCAATTTTCTGCTTCAGTCTCAGAAATACTTGCTTTCTTTAATAATGGCAGACTTCATACTTGGTGTCTATTTTGCCAGGAGTCAAGATAAGTCCTTTCACATAGAAGGTGCTTTGAACCATATCTTCACCCGAAGCTTACCCTTTGAAGGTTCACAACCAAGAATCTTCAAGATCAAACTGGATGACCGGTGGTTTTCCTTTCCAGAACCAGAAGCACTTGTAGGAAAGTTGAACAGGTAACTGCTATTTTACCAGAAATCACTTCTGTCTCTAGCTGTATCCTGATTGAATTGATGACAACCATATATTGAATGAATGCTACATGTACTGTTAATGATTTTGGTGCTCTTAATACTTGTCAGTGTAGCCTACATAAGCCTCTTTAGAATTAAGAATGTTCTGGTATATTGTAGGGATGGTGGTTGTCAGAGTTCTGAAACACATGATACCTTTGTGTATGGTGGTTGATTTCTTTGTCTCCTTTCAAGATCAACAAGGATAATTCTTTTCTTTTCAGCTATTTGCACTTTTAAATTCTAACTACATAATTATTTATTATTTTAAGTTAAAAAGGTTAATTTGTGTTTGTGTTTAAACAGGGGTTTCTTAGAAGCATCTTCCTATCATCCTATCAAAACCATAAATGAGAAACTGATTGCTGAATTGGGCAAAGTTTTCCCTCTAAAAAGGCTGAAGTGTTTTTCCCCTTTGCTGCCACAGAGAGAAGCCAGTGTTCTCACTCCCTGGAACTGTGACTTTCTATCAGCTGCCTTTTGGATTAATCTTCTAGAGGGTAACTCAAATTTTGAGTCTCTGACTGGTGGGAAAACACAAGACATAGAGAACTTTCTGGTGTCACCTTCAGAATTTAGCCTTCCCAAGAGCCCTGGAAGAGATGGTAAAGAAGAAGTTCATGAAGGAATCTATGGACAAGCCAAGATCTGGCTTAGACCGTCTCTCCTAGTTCATGTTCCAGCTGTCATCCAAGCACCAGACTTCCTCCCAGGTTCTCTGCACATCCTTAGTGGACCTATCTTTCGGAAGTGCCACATCCTGCCTTTCACAATGCCAGCCTTTCATGAGACTTTATTTATCCTTGGGTTTAATAAAAATCTGAATGATGGCTATCTTCAGACACTATTAGACCACCTGAAGGGCATTCTAGATAGCCTTCTGACTCTGACATTACTGGAAGGCTCTAAACTGAGTAGTTCAATAGAATTTGTCTTTCAGCCAAATGGGAAAGATTATATCATGAATGTGAAGTCTCATAATTTTGGCCCAGATTGTGCCAAGGATCTGATTATTGGGTCTGTTACCATATCTATTCCAAGCATTATACATAAAGACCAGTGTTTTGTGTTTGTGTCTTTGAACTTGGACCTATTAGCCATGCTTGTCTGGGGTATCTCTGACTGGAGGATGTTGTGGACCTTTGATAAACGTTTCCTGAAGAATTTTGTCCCTGGGAAAATAGAACCCTTTAAAAGCTATTCCCTATATCCTCCAAGCTATGTGCATGATATTAGTTTTTGGTTAGATGAGAAGAAAGGATTTGATGAACTAGAATTTCACACTGTGGCCCGAGCAGTGTCCCAAGACACTGTCATATCCATACAATTCCTTAGTCGTTTTCAGCATCCTGAGACTGACCAGGTCAGTCTTTGCTATAGACTGACCTACCAGACCTGTGACAAGGCCCTTACCCAGCAGCAGGTAGCATCAATGCAGTCCAAGTTTAGGAAAGAGATTGAACAACGACTACATGTGAGACCTCGGTAGTTTAGTAAATTCATTTCTGCAGTGTGATCCTCATGGGTGTGGGATGAAGTAACTGGGAATCCTTTCTAGACCATTTTTTTGTGTAAACTGTTGTACTTTTTGACTGTTAAATCTAAAGATACCTGTGACTCAATCACTTAAACTTACAGACTATACTGTGATTGGTGACCTTTGGAGTTGTGCAATATATTGATCCTCAGTAATGACTAGGAAAACAAATAAAACATCATCTTGTACTTTAGATGCTCTATTGCTGAAGAGGCAATAGAACTTGAGTGTCTCATCGAAACAACATATATAATATATTCCACACTGTCAATTCCTCTTCCTTTAACTCTATTGTATCATCTCACTAAATCTATTTACA